TGTACTGTCCTGGCCTCTGGCTGGGTAACTGGCCCGGGGACCAGGTGATCCGCTGCTGTTCCGGCTGCCGTTCCTGACCGCTGGACAACTGGTGAATGAGGCCTCGACTCCAGCTGGGTGACTGGCCCAGGTACCAGGCGAGGTTCCGCTGTTCCGGCTGCCGTCCCGAGTGGTTACGAGTTCCCGTTTGGTGTGGGCCGCTGGTCCTGCTGCCGTTCCGGGTGGCTGGCACGACCCAAGTGTGCTACTGGGACGAACGCGGCGGCTGAGAGTTGTTGCTCGAGGGCGGAGCTTCCGAGCGACCGCTACCCTCCTGCTGCTACGGCGGCAGAAGGCCGTGAGATGGCGTGGGCCAACTCATGTTGAAGACGTCAACGCGACAGACGACACGTCATGCGAGCGATTGGTGTCCAAGCCCAATCAAAAAACGGCGAGAGACTTCTAACTAAGTGAGAGATATCGCATATAACTGCATTTGACAGACTATGTTAGAGATGATCCATTAATAGTGGCCTTTTCCGTGCAAATATATTTTGTTTGTGTGTGTGCACGATTGGCTCGATTGTTTATTGGCTAGCGGTCCTGGGCCCAAAACCCGACACTACGTTACATACACAATAATACACTCTGTGCCACCTCAGGCAGTAAGCACTCTTATGCCTTGGAGTCCAAACCAAACTTTATTGCGTTTGCAAAGGCAACCCGCTTCAAAACCAGCGAGCGAGTCCGGCTGACACCTTCACCGTAAACGGTGCCTTCCGCAACACGTGGCGTCGCCGATTTCAGCCTGATGATGCAATCGATGCCATTCAGTCTGACAAGTATTACGCAATACGTGGCAATACCACTCACCCATGGGTGCAATCTAGCCCGTGAAGAGCGGCGGCTCCTGTTTGGAAGCTGCTGACGCAAGGGCGTCAGAGCAGACGACAGCGTCAGAGCGTCCGAAGAAAGCCAGGCTCTTCGAACTCCCCAAGCTGTCGGCCCCAGTGCCGAATATGTAACGCCTTTATTTATGGTGTACACCGTCGTCCTTTATGAAAGGGAACACGCGAACGCGTGGCCTGCACTGTGGGGCGGCTCCCTACAGCCACATCAACCGACAGCAAAAGTAAACACGTTCGTTTTCAGCGTCATCTGTTGCCAAAAAAAAATAATAACGAGTTATGGCCGGTAGACAAGCGCCGCTAGATTGCACTCTCTTTGTGCTCACGCCTGCAGTGCGTAGTTTACTGCCAACATATCAAACGTTGTTCGCGACCACGGCGCAAGCTACAGTAATCGCCCAATATCGCTCGCCACGCGAGCAATCATGCAGGGAAAGTAATCTAGTAGCGCTTGTCTACCGGCCATAACTCGTTATCTTGCTTGGCCGTAGATGACGCGAAAAGCGAAAGTGCTTTCTTCACTTGTCGGTTGATGGTGCTGTAGGCAGCCGCCACAGGTAGGTAGGTAGGTAGTAAACTTTATTTACTCAGTTGACAGGAGAGAGTTGGGGACGGCTTTAAGGGCCGGCCCCTTACAAAATCTAGGAGGAGTCCCTCGCCACAGAGCGCAGGTCACGCGTTCGCGTGTTCCCTTTCAATAAGAACGAGAGTGTACATACAAGTTGCCTTAACTCACCGTCGCCTTGTCCGCTCCGTCCATCAGCTCTGCGCACAAGCAGCCGCAAGCTGAGAAACACGCGATACCCAACAGTGGTGACAGCAGCTTGTGACCTTGGCGGCGCTACGCAACAGTACGCGCGAGCTGCGGTGAGGGCTTGACGCGAACGGTAGAAGAGCAATGCGATCGCAGCGGATAGGTGTGTGTGGAGTGCAGAGTCACAGACGCAACTGGCGGCTCCGCGCACGGATTGGGGCGCCGCGAACCGGATCCCTTTTACCGAAGAAGGAGCGATAAAAGAGCAGCGGCGCGCCAGACGACTTGTACGAGTAGCACATGGTAACACGGCTTCAGAAAGCGTACAGCGTCTCCGGCTGCGTCAGCGTGGGCAGCCACGCGGGACGTACCACACGACCGTGGCGGAAAAAGGGTAATGCTAGTTTAGCTGTGCAAAAACATAAACGATGTTCCGGTGCTAGTTTCTGCATATTACTGGGCATGCTTTCTTGTTTCGAAACGTGAGAATACATCGATGGACAACCGTAGTGTTTGATGGAGCCATAAAATCAAGTTAGAGTTCGATCTTGATGGCAGTAGTATCTGCCCGAAAGCTCAAGTCAGCCGCTGCAGTGTTCAAAGCAAGACGTCCATTTACCCGCGGAAATACGGAACATAGGTGAAATCAACCACCGCTGACGTTCGTCAGAAATTCAATCACACTGAACTCCAGAACTTTCATAATAATAATAATACCTGGGGTTCTACATGTCAAAACCACAATACGATTATGAGGCACGCCGTAGCAAGAGCTTCCGGAAATGTCGACCCTCTCGAGTTCTTTAACGTGCACTGGGATCACACAGTAGGCAGGTTTCTAGCATTTTGCCTCCATCAAAATGCGACCACCGAGGCTGGGGTCGAACCAGTGATCTACGAGTGCGTCGCAGAGCCCCGAAACCGCTGCACTACTGCGGCGGGCAGATAATTTTTATATTTTTGCATTGATTTCAAAGCTCGGAAAAAATGGGTGGGGGGAGGCATGGAACTACTAATTGCTACAAGAGTAATATCGCAGGAAGAGCCTGTTGGCGTCCAACTTCAGTGTGTCGACCTTGACAGAGACACCGGCAACCTTTTTTTTGCTAAGGGAGAGAAATGGGGTCGGCGGAGGCGTCCTCACAAAAAAAAAAAGAAGAAAAGCTTCAGTGATTGAAGCGAATTGATAGATTGATATGTGGTGTTTAACGTCCCAAAACCACCATATGATTATGACAGACGCCGTAGTGGAGGGCTCCGGAAGTTTCGACCTCCCGGGTTTCTTTAACGTGCACCAAAATCTGAGCACACGGGCCTACAACATTTCCGCCTCCATCGGAAATGCAGCCGCCACAGCCCGCAGCCGGGATACGAACCCGCGACCTGCAGGCCAGCAGGCGAGTACCTTAGCCACTAGACCACAGCGGCAGGGCCGTTCGTGTAGATAAAATGGACATGTCAAAGTTCCAGTTGATTCTTGTTTCAAAAGGGTAATTTTGACCCACCACGGTGGTTTAGTGGCAAATGCACTCGGCTGCTGATCCGCAGGTCGTGGATTCAAATCCCGGTGGCAGCAGCCGCATTTTCTATGGAGGAAAAAATGCCCTCCAGGACTATGGCGTCTTTGACAATCATTTGCTGGTTTGAGGACGTTAAATTGCAACAATTATTATTATAATAAAGACTTAATTTCAAGGCTGCTTGGTGATAGGTCTGTCCTGTTTCTATATGTTGAAGCAATTTCTGAGCGCCGATATAACGTCGGACTTTATTCGCAGAAGCATGGACCAACGGTATGTATAGGTGCATTAACATTGCAACGTAGTTAAAACGGTGCTTAGGATGTGTACAAAGACAAAGGGCACCTGGAGATCTCGCAGGCCTTATAGATCGTGCAATGAGACGAAATTATAAGAACCATTCGGTAACGTATAGCCGAGCACCGCACCAGACAATATTTTTACGCTTTAGAAAAACCGATGAATTCCCGGTGCCACACGGATTCCTTCCAAGCACTGGCAGCATACGAAGTGGAGGCTCTGCTTTGAAGCTATCGCTGCAGTGGTCGTTTGGAGGCACGTGTGTCCAGGTACCAACAACACCATGATGCCAGAACATGGAAACACACGCAAGTACTAGTTGTAACACGTATGCCTTGGTGGAATGCATCGGGCTGAAGTGAACTACCGGATGGCGGTAGTCTATTTTAATTGCACACTCGAAATGCTGCTGTGCCTCCTGGCCGGCACCTGTTACTAATACCAAAACATCAATCAAGTAGGGCAATATTGCAAATTTAACGCAAGATATGGTGTGCCTTCACCTTACAGGCTGCGCGTGGCTGATAGCATAATAAACTTGCCCATTGTTTTCATTATACAATGTCACATTGCTGTAGCGCAGCTCAATTAGAGCAGGAAGAGAAAGTGGAAGAAGCGAAGAAGGGAAAGGCAGGCATCAGGATGAGCCCAATATATTGCACCAAACTGCCCTATATCTGCAGTAGTCAGTTGTTCATTATAAAATGTTTTTGAGAACTTCTGGATGCAGGCTGTTCTACGTGGCTGTAGTTGTGAGACAGACAGTATGCTCTGCCGGTATAGTGCTGTGACTCAACATTGATTAAAACTTCAGGCAACTCTGGGCCAGTCCAGACAGTACAGTCTTAGGCAGTGTACGCGGCAAAACAATTTTGATATTTTGGAAGACTTTAGGGCTTATAACGAGTTTATGAACCATTTGAGTATGCATGCATGCATGCGGGCTGGTTTTCTGCTGTTTATTATTACATATGGCATATCTTCCACCCAAGTACTCAAGTAGCATGTTATTCCATTAACCATAAAAACATTCACACCATTTTATAAAAAAACAGAAGCTGTCTCTATTACTGCGTTATCGCATCGGTGATAAATCGAAGTATCATGAGCACAAACGAAGAAAATGTTTTGAGTGCTTGTTCCAGGATGACAACCTTCATCTTCTAAGACTCAGCGTGTCCCGTTGTCAATGAAAGGGTCTGGAACTGAACACAAAAACATATTCACCTAGTGCTACAGTGTCTGCTGTTATCCATGCGTTTGTCGCCAACTGCATGACTTCTTTCCAACTGCATGACTTCTTTATTTTATTATTTAACATGCTTCGCTGATGAAAAAAATGCGAGTACTTTACACGAAACTTGTGGTAGCTCAAAAATGCTGTCACACTATCCAGTATGTCGCCGTGATCACACAATTAAGGCCTAATAGGATGTGTGGATATACTCGAGGAAAAATGCATTGCAGTGATGATGTTTCTTAACTGTTGACAGAGTAGTGTGTGTTTCTCTGCACAACACAAAAAGACTGCAGCGAATTGGGTGCACTAAATACTATTTATTTTCAGTTTGATTCAGGCCTATGTACAGTTTGATGAGCGCGTATCATACTCTTCATAATTATTACAGAATTTTATTGAGTCAATGTGTGGCAAACAATGCGCCGGGATGCGTCTGACGAACCCATAAAAACAGTATTCTTATCTTAATAAAAAAAAATGAAAATAGGAAGTTTTATAACAACGTAATACGTTAATTAACAGGCTAATGAAACTGTTTAATTCAACAATCACTGGTGGACATCCGACTACTTCGTGGAAACCTGAATGTTCTGGATAACCACGAGTCTCTTGGTTGCGTCGGTTGCTTTCGCATGGCCACCTGGAAACAAACAGCACGAAAACAGTCTATGTAGAAGTGTATCTTCTTTAAAATAACATAGCCCACACTAAACGATATTGTGCGTAGAAGTTACACAGGGAAGCGTTTAACACGAACACAGTTGGCTAACTAATGCAATTCGTTACCTCAGCAGATACAATGGCTATGATCAGATGGCGCCCCATGTCATTACAATGAAATATGCTATAGTGGCACTGCTATAGCCTATAATTATATTCATGATGGCATTTATGAAACTAGTATGCGTCTCTTCATTGGAACATTGTAACAAGAGCCAAAAAACACAATTATTACGTAGACGCGCCAGATGAAATCGAAAGATGTGAATATCAAGAATAAATTCTATTAGTGCTACTGCGTTAATGAAGTGACACCTGACACAAGCTATCCGTTCCGAGAAGTCTAAAAAAAAAAGAAATAAGGAAATAAACTCTGACACCAGTACTGGTACTCACACTCAGGTAACAACCACTAGTGTGCGCTTATATAAAATGCAGGATGTTAGAGGAAACACAGCGTGCTGCTCATTCCACGTTCTGAGTCGAATTGTTAAGCTCTTGCTTTTTCAGTGCATACCAAAATTTGACGCGACAAAATAAGCGCGCTGTTAAAGAAGATACACCTCTAAAAGAAGTCAAATGGTGGATTTTTCAGTGAACTGCGCGGTTTATAACGTAGAGAAGACATGGCAGCGAAAAAGTCAGCTTAACGTCGTGAAGTTCTCACACCAGCTAGCGACGATGTTAAGAATTTCAACAGCGCTCATTCAAGATATACCAAATTGCTTCTCCGTAAGCAAAGGCTACGCTGTATTTGAAAACGAAACAGAAACGTGACTTACCAGAAATTCAGAATCGGCCCTAAATCTGTGACGTCAGGCTTACTACACGAAAACTGGGGCTCAGCACGAAACTCAAGAAATGGGAACTTTACATTTACTTTTTGCTGCAGAAGCCTGCAATTCAAGGAAGCACTGACAGGTGAAGCCGACGGGAAATAAGGGCCCATGAAATAGAACTGCATGACGTATATGCCACAGCATGTCATAGATTCCTGGAGTCACAAAGTGCAATCTCTTGCATACTATCCCGCTATTGCGTTTTTTTTCCTCTTCCTGGTGATGCCTCACAGAAGTAATGCATTTTCGTACGACCAATACGACCGTATTTCCTCTTGGGCATGGATTTTGCATATTATCTATGACATCTGGTTGGATATCATGATAACACGCTTACTTTCATAGCACACAGAATAAGTTATCCATCAACAAAATTTTGAGCCACTGTCATTCGCTCTCACCACTGTGAATACTTGATGTACATGCAACATTTTCTGAAATGCTGTGGCATAAACTTTTCTCTTTCCTGAACAACACGCCCTCCACGTAATACACCTTCAAAATAAAGCGACAGAAACTTACAAATGCGAGTATAAATCGCACTTACTTGGCCAAAATCAAGTCCGTAAATTGGATTTTCAACTGAAACTGTGCGGCTCTGCTCCCTGAAAGAAGAAATTGTACAGAAGGCCGTACAGTGCCTAAATAGAAAACGACGCTTAGTGCATGAAGGATGTATTTAGTTCAGAAGCGTTGGGAACATAACCTAAATAATTGAAAGACAACATAATTCATTGATCCAAGAAGATGAGAGAATATATATATATATATATATATATATATATATATATATATATATATATATATATATATATATATATATATATATATATATATATATATATATATATATATATATATATATATATATATATATATATATGATACCAGCGTTATACTATGCGCCCTAAAAGGCAAAAAAATTGCGCAGGCCCGTATATAGTGCTTCTCATGTTCATTCCATCATGCGCTTGTTAAGGCTTGCATAAAACGATTATAGGACTGTGATGTGAAGATGTGCAGAAATAAGTCGACTACTGGTATTAACTCAATTACTGAAACTACACTCGTTGTGGCTTTGTACTAATGAATAGTTCAAGCTAATGGACACAAAAAGTACTTCGCACTTGCCAATGTTATTAATCATACTATACACATAGACTAATTAACGGACTGCCGGCTCACTCACATTTCACGGCATGCCTCATTGCGCCTTCTCCGCCTGACGTAAATGATAACTGTGGCGGTAAGAGCCAGGATGACGAGTACCAGTATGGGCGCACCATACGCCCAACCTCCACTGGGACCTGCAACTGTACATACAATTCGCCTCCGTTTCAGCGAGTTCAAGCTGTTTTGCAGAGCCGTCGACAACAGGTGCCATAGATGCGAAGCGAATGACTAAAATGATTTAATCCACGAGTATAGGCATACATAATGCTTTCCCACGTAAAAAAAAAAAGCGTTGTGCCTGTGCTGACGGAGCCGACAGGAAATAGTTTGAATCAACATTCAGCTGACTCCCTCTAAACGTGGAAGTTATACAGCGAGCTCGTCGGTCACTCAATCAGTACTTTGAATAACAAAGCATATAGATTAAATTATAGTGCAACTTGGTCCCTAACGAAGGTAAACAATGCGCGGCAGCATATTTTTAGACCGAGGCGACTAGTCTTATGCACACTCATGCACTAACGTGTGAATGAATGTGTAATACTGCTCCATTGCACACCTGCTTCCCAATTGAAGAAAATAATAAAATACGTGAGGTTTCTCTTAACATACCTATAAAGTCTGCTGGGGGATCTCGTATGAGCTTTCTCTGACATCGAGTTCCTTGAAAGCCGACCGTGCACGTGCACTCTGGTGCTCCAGACATCGAATGTAAGCTGCAGTTGCCTTCATTGCGACAGAAGTAGGCTGGACATTCTGCACCGAGAGAAGAAGAAAAACAGCTTATAGCAGACACGTAAAAACAATTATTCTCTGTACGTCATACCAAGGACGCCTTTGGCAAGCGCCTGAGGCACGCCTGCTTATACGTATACTCCATAGCTATGTGTATTTGGAACAAGAGTAGGTGCTGTGCGTTATTTCATTGTTAATGCACCAAAGTTATAATAGTAAAGTTATACATTTTGGTGTCTGGAAATCGGACTGATCTCATATTGACTGAAGTGTCACTGTTAATGCCTCACCACGGAAGCAGCTAGATTATAATAATACTTCAGCAAAATATACATGCGGCAATCAGAAAAAGGTCCTACTCAGATGGCGTGATGTGATTTTTAAACTCTCAAACAGCGGGCAAACGTCGTGCTGTGAACGTTAAAATACGCACCATCGCAGATAACTTCGTCTGATCCATCACTGCAGTCTTCATGACCATCGCACAGCTTGGACGCGTCAATGCATGTTGATGGTTTTCGGCAGAAGTACTGAGCACCGGTACAGTATTCACGGTCTCCTGCGTGTGGAGTGGAACACAAATTTTAACTTTCACACAAATCTTTCCACGGCAAGGCTGAACAAAAGCGTGCTTCCTCATGTATAAATGTTGAAGTGTGAAAGACTAAGATTTGGTCAACTAAAGCTTCAAACTTCAGCTTGAATATTGAGGGTCAAAGATATCTTACCGCATACTTCATCAGCTCCGTTGGGGCAATCACGAACGCCATCGCAGAGGAGCAGTGCAGCAACACAGTGCTTGCCGTCGTGGCAACTGAACATGCCCTTGCCGCAAGTAGGCGCTGAAGTGGTGGGCACGGACGTAGTGGAAAGCGTTGAAGGAGCCATAGGAAGCGTTTTTTCTTCACCACCAGTAACGCGTGTTGGGGCCACCGACACTGCCTTTGTTGATGTGGAAAAGAGTGTAGTTCCAAAACCTGTCGTTGCGCCAGCAGTCCCGATTTCCGCTGAAGTCGGTGTCGTAACTGTGGAAATGTCTCCTGCAACAACGATTGGCTTCAATTGCAACCAGTTCTTGGTGTCGTAACAATACACGAACTTTATATTGCGCATCTTTAGTCTCATTCAGAAATATAAGAATAAAACATCTAGTGTGCACTGCGAAATTGTTGAAGCGCGATTACTCCGAAAGCTATAGCGTTAACAAGTTTGTGTGGTCATATTTTTATGCCGTCACATACAAATTGAATCAAATAAATTGTGTTATAATCAGGCAGAAAATTACTTTTCCTGGGTGTGAAATTTTGCAAAAACTGAAAAGACTTATGTCTCAATACTTAGTTGTCTCACCTTTAGTGGTGCAGTCGTCCTCACTAACGAGCAAGTCGTCGATAAGAGCAAATGCCTTGGGGTTAGTGCCCGATATGGCGATGATAGACCTCTGCATATTGTACACAAGTTTTGTGATATTAGTTAATAGATTAATAAGATAGATTTTATCCTTTTTCTGCTAACTGTGTAAAAGATAAACGGCGCTTCTCACTAGTCACGTTATGACATTCAAACTTCTAAATTTATAAATATCACCGGTTCTGCACTATTACCACACTTCCACCGAAATCCCACCATAAACATAAAGAAACATTCCAATCTACATAATCTACCCCTTCTCTGGCTTTGCATTTTGTTAAAAAAAAAACTGTTGCACTTCACAATATATACGCGACTCATTACTTAAATGGCGGAGCTATTTAAGGTGGAGGTTAGGACATGTAGAGTAAATAAAAAAAAAAACTATTGTCATCATCATCGGCCTCAACTTGCTGGCGCGCGCACTCTTCGTGCTGTTCTCCTTAGACACCAAAGAAAAGTGATTTTCATCGTATTTATAAACTACTTTTTCGCGATGCCAAAAACACCACGCTCACCACGAGAAGACGCTTGGTGGGCGAGAAAACACGCAAAAAGAAAATGTGTCAGGCGACGCCACACGGAAGTTCATGCCGTTACTAATCGATAAAAGTGAAGTACATATTGTCCTCTGAGGGGGCCAGAACGTTAAGAAGCTAAGTTTTAGAAACTTTGTTGGGCCAATGTTGGAAAAATATTAAAAACGAATTTTGAAATTCGTCCCTTCACGTGCGGAGATCTCAGTGCAAAATTTAAATATGAGACTTTGATTTTAATTTCTTCATTTCTGATGAAAGCTGAGGATGAAAATAATGACATGGATTGACATGTTGGGTTTAACAGGCCAAAACCACAATATGAATATGAGAGACGCCGTAGTGGAGGGCTCCGAAAATTTCCACCACCTGGGGTTGTTTAACGTGCACCCAAATCGGAGCGCACGGGCCTACAGCATTATCGCCTCCGTCGAAAATGCAGCGGCCGCAGCGGGGATTCGATCCCGTGACCTGCGGGTCAGCTGCCGAGTACCTTAGCTACTAGACCACCGCGGATAACCACAGGAGGGGCAGGACAACAACATTAAAGTTTTCAGGTTAAAATTTCTCAACCTAAATCAATTCACTGTTTCACCTTGACGTCCCTTGAATAACTTGCTAATTAGGGTTAATTAGGTGTCATTGTTGACTATCATTGTGGTAATTAGGAGCATTCTCATTACTATTATGACAATCTTGACCTTTATGATGAGAATCTTGCTAATTAAGGCTATAACAAATAATACCACAAGTGTTAAGATTGTTTAAATTAGAATATTGATAATTAACACACCAAGTAATCATTCACTTCGCATAGTGCAGACTACTCTTTGATGACGACTCTTCACCATGCAGTATAATCTTACGGCTAGCCAAACTAAGCAACGACGTAGTCGGGAGCTTGCAAAAGCCGACAGAAACTACGTCAATCACAAGCTCCACTATTAGTCTAGCCTTGCACAACTAGCACCATTAGTGGTAGCTGCCCTATCATCGTATTTTAAGGGAGCCACTGTGCATTAGCGATTTATAATATTTGGTAGAAGTAGTACTCCTTGTAATTTTCTTATTTTTCAGCGTTTGTGTGTTCTATACTGACACCATAAAGCACGAATCACGAGGGATGAGAAGGGAAAAAACGCAAGCGCAGAAAAGAAAAAAAAACTACGCTGCATAGTTGCGCGTTTCTGTTTCAGTATGCCGTTATTAGCATGGCAAGCATTCAATCAATATGCCAATAGCAGCCCACCTTGTATTCTGAAATACTTGACGTTTTCGCTCACACGTAGAGTCTGTTTCACACTTAGGCGAAATCTTGGAGCATATGTCATCGCGATGGAGGCAGCACTGCAGTGGCCCGCCGGCAGCGGCTCGCGCATGCACAGACGCTCGACGAGCGTGCTGTTGAAGCACATCGTCTTCGACCGCGGTGCGCACTGGCCACTATGTCGGGCAGCTTGCTGATATCGTCGTTGCTGTGGGAACTAGGCCGATGTTCTGTACTAAATGGTGTGTGAAGCCAACCTGTCAGCCTTCATTAGCGATAATGGGGTTCTAGAAACAGAGCGCGACATCATGCTCTTTCGGAACGCCTTGGTACTGAGTGCGTTCACGTATATTTTTTTCTTGGTGTGTGTGTATCTCAGTTGTGACAGGGAATATCATAATGAGCACGTACCGTGCGTGGTATTTATTTCATGCTATAAATAACAAAGGACGCCCTCTACAGCGACTGCCGGGCAGCTATGTGGGTTCAACACAATAAAACAAACGAGAACGAGTTCAAGACTGTTGTAGGTTAAGATAACGACTGAAACGTGCTGCTTCTCGATGAAATTTCGTTGCTGGAGGCAGCGCTCATTCACCGGCCCCGAAATGCACGTGTGGAGCTTCCTACTTAATACCCCAACATGTGCCCAGCGTCAGCGATGACAGCGTTTGTCTTGGACGGCACTGAGACGTACTGTGAGAGGACGAGACAGATATCGGCCCAGTTCCAGCAACAACGACGGAATTTGTTCGCTGCTTGACGATGCGGTCAGCACGCGCCGTCGTAGTGTGAGCTGCTGCCGGCACGCGACTGCCGCGCTGGACACATCGTAGGGGCATCGCGAGGTCGCACACTACGGGATTCACCCGAAGTGTGAAACACAATTTACATACATACGCTGAGTGACACCGAACAATCTTTGTGTTCTAGCGCGCTCACTTCATGAATCCTACTCAAAGGTGAAACACCATGACAAGGCAGCAAGTAGAATACAGGCAACGAAAAAAGGCGAATAATAATAATAATAATAATAATAATAATAATAATAATAATAATAATAATAATAATAATAATAATAATAATAATAATAATAATAATAATAATAATAATAATAATAATAATAATAATAAGTAATAAACTTCTTTTATCGCTTACATTAACAGCGTATTGAGGAGCAAACAATATGAAACAAAATGTGTATTGGTCAGTAAGTAGTAAAAACTTAAAAGTATGTGCATGCTCGGTAAAAGGGCTCGTTTCATCACTTTATGTATTGCGGCACACTCACGTAGTTGTTCGTGAGACTGAATCGGGCTGAACGCCATTGACCGTGCGTGGACTCGTTGAAGTAAGTGGGTCCTGCCAGCAGGATGAGGCCGTGAAGGTCGTCCGAGAGCAGATACCAAAAGGTTGCACACCGGGCGTCACCACTGCCACCGGTTGCCGTTACCACAGCAAACTGTCCCGCAGCATCGGCCGAGAAGCGCAGGTAGTGGCCTGGGTTTATAAAACACAGATTTACCGGTTCATCATCACTTGGATACCGAGAGAAAGCAGTCGAAAATTGTGTGGTTCTCGAAACGTATATAAAGGCCGTGTAAGATCGAGATTGCCCCGGATTATTCGGTAATATATGGCTTCGTATGGTAGAGCCTGCAGAGCTCCGATTATTTGGAAGGTAGCATTCTACCGGCGTTGGTCAGTAGTCATTACTGAATAGCGGGAGCAGTGCGAAGAGCGCACAAACAGGTTTCTTGTAAATTTTTCCGCCATTTATATTTGCAGTAGAATAAAACTTATTGGTGAAGGTACAGAGTGGCTAAACATTTGGCACAATTTTTTCCCTTGTTTGTTATATCATGTATAAAAACTTGGTGCTTTCTTGAAAGATAAATGGCTATCTGGAATCCGTTTGAAATGATAATCAAAAGAACACATTCCTTCGATTTTGGCATCAAGTAATAGTGTTTCTGCTTATGTCGCTAACGTTCTGCAGTCACTTGCAAGCACTTTGCTGTGCTCTTTTTTTAAAAATAAAATGTTATCTGAGTGAACAGAAGTGTTGTGTCATTGTAAAAACTATTTTTAAGCCCCGAGTTGTAATTCGAAAACTGATTTTTGTCGGTAAGAGCAGTGTCATAATGTGCATAACTACAGTCAAAATTTCAGTATGTTTATTAGTTATTGAATAAATAATTTAGTACATACGACCGGCCTCAATGTGCATTGTGCAGCAGTAAATGTATAAAATGATACAAAAATAATTGACATGGTACAAAATTACCCCTGACATTTTACTATATACGGCCTCTTAACGTGGTACATGACAGCCTTCGGAACTGTGCGTGTCAAAATAAACACTCAACAATACAGGTGGGTAATTAAAAACAAGGGCGAAGAAAATGCTGAAACGCCATATTCAGCAATACGCTAGTACGTCCAGCGCCCAACTCCGTATGCTTTCGAAAACGAAGGAAACCATCGCACGCCGAAGCAAGTTGTGGCTCGAATGCGCACACATAGCACTCACCTTCAGGGGTTCCTGTGGTATGGTCCGAGAGGAACACGGACAGACCAGCCCGCTCATGATGCCACCATCCAGAAGCGAATGCTGAATGACACCAGAAAGTATGTGGTTCGGTTGTATGCACGTAAAGTTCTTGTTTTCGGCTTCAACTACAAGGCAGGAGAGCGGACCATGTGCGATTTCGCCGTCTAAGATGTACTCAGAGATGCTTTTAAAATAAACAGCTTTAAGGAAGTAATTTAATTCACATTAATTCACAAGTTTTAACCACTAAAGAAAATAAGCTTCTGTTTTCTTTACCTAATTGAGCTTACTAAATTTAATAATTTTAGAACATGCATAGTAGTAATATTTGAGCCCTCATAACTGCACAGTCTATTGCGGAAGTTCTAAAGAGCAGAAATGACAAACATCGGGGTACCTGCACAAATAAAGACTTGGTAAGATTTGTATTTGCTTTTGAAAGATGCATCACATCTTTGCACTTCAATAGGTTATACATTAGCCCCAGAAATCAGGACGAAAGACAGAAAAGCTAAAAGTAACTTACGGTCATGCGAATTCTCCCATGCAAGGCATGTGGCTCCTTCGAAAGTGCAAGCGTCTGCATAATAATAATAATAATAATAATAATAATAATAATAATAATAATAATATAATAATAATAATAATAATAATAATAATAATAATAATAATAATAATAATAATAATAATAATAATAATAATAATAATAATAATAATAATAATAATAATATATTAATAATAAGACCGAACTCACGCTAGTGGCCGCGCTCCTGCGGGATACGTGTACACTACAAACTCCACTAGCGCAATGAAGTGGCAGACCATCATATGGCATCCTGACTTTTCGCAAAAGAGAACACAGCTCGTCACTAATCACCGAAAGCGATGCACCCGTGCCCACGAAGACTTCCGTCCATGCATCTTGAACACACACGGAAAGTCCATTTGAGGGACGTTCCGGAGGAGCCTGATGCAGGTCGTAGGATGCAGCTTTCCCTCCTGAAGCTGCACTGTTCAGTTTTCCGGGCGATGATCAGATGCCGTGGTAGCCGGACGAAGAGGAAAAGCGCCGCATAAGCGATGGAGAGGGATGACGCGATGAACAGAACGCTTTCGCTGTATCGAAGGTCTTTGGATATGGCGAGCGATGCTGGTAAATGTTTGGGCGGTGACTGTAGGGAACAGAGGCAAACTCGTCTCTTTAAAAATAATCATAGCCGCGCCTGTCGTCTTGTTGACACCGTCGGCAGAACTTCGAAATGTGACCATGGATTCCGCAATAATAGCAAACAGGTCGAGGGGGATGCCTGGCGTTGAAAGACTCAGGCGCTGCCCTTTGTGTGAGAGCATTGAGCGAAGCAGGCACTGTTGACTCAGGTTGAGGTGACAGCTGGGAAGATGACGTGAGAGCAGCAACGTAGGCCTAGGCGGGCCATGGTGCGGGATACGGGTTCAGGACTTGAGTGCACGCCATGGACGCCAGCTCCTCCTTCACAATGTTGCGGAGGATGCCTCTAGGAGGTATGGTACGGAGCTCGAGAGAAGACGATGCCGCTTGTAATTACGGTTTTTCGCGCATAATAGAATGAATCAAGGCACGCAGCTTACTGTCGTTGGTTGCCCGCGGAGCAGGCACGTTAGGTTGCAAGCGAAGAAGATGAAGATAATCGAGGCGCAGACACATGTTGATGATATCCGTGACTGTGGTGCGATTCTTTGCTACCAGAGCTTTGATGCCATGGCATCAATGCCTTTGAGCGGGTGGCGACCGCAGTCATTTTCTGCCATCGAGCTCTCGCCCAGGCGAGAATGTCTTCTATGTGCGAAGTATATGACTAGCCAGAGTGCCGGACACACTGAGCAAGCTTCCCTTTGGCGATGTCGGAGCGGATAGAAGGGTTTGCGAAAATCTGGAAGATGCGCTGCTTAAAAGTGTCCCAGTTTGCGAAATCCAACTCATGGTTGAAAAACCTAGTTTTGGCAAGCCCTGTGAGACAGGATGAGATGCGGGACATTTTCGCGGAATTGTCCCAGTAGTTAAGCAAACTCACGCGGTCGCATTGCGTCAATCATTCCTCAACCCTTTCACCACGAAGGCCAGCGAACAACAGGAGATCCTGGTGCTCGCTGGCAAGGACTATAAACAATGGCAAGGACTAGAAACTGCAAGCGATCGTACATTTTACAGGCTTGACCTAATACAATATATGTGCTTACGTTGATCTGGGCATGTCCCTTCCTCAATCTCGATGTCATCCAGAAGTATGCCAGATTCAGTCGAGTAAAAGTCGAGGATTCGTGCTTCAAACACCACCTGAAAGCAGACGCGAAGTGAGAAATTTTTACATTCTTTGTTTACATTAGGTCACCGTTTAAAGAGGGGTATTACCCCACAACCTTCTCGTGACCCCTTTCTTATCCATTATTATGTGCTATTTAAATGACCTAATGTTTGACCCTCGGACGTCGGAGAAATGTATGTGTATTAGACAATGCAATAGTTTTGTGCAATAAATATGGGAAATAGTCTGCGGTCCTTGATCTTATGATCCGCGGCTTTAGTGATCTCTGGTCTTAAGCGCACTGTGACGAAGTTATCATTTGCTGCTTACAGAAAGAGTGCAAGACAGAAAATAAAAAACGTCGTGAAACAGAAAAAGAAGTTGCTGGCGTCTCGGTCACCGGCGTCTCGGTCACCGGCGTCTCGGTCATTAAGTATGCGAGGACAAAAAGCTTGGTCAGATCTCGGAAACTCGCCACTAGTTTCGGTTTGAAGGAACATGCACTCTCGTAGTGGTTGCCGGGCCTCCTAAGATACGGTTGAACATAGCGAGGTTGATGTGAATGTCCGCATTTATTGCATTTCAGAAGTTTTTACCAATAAAAAAATTGATGCCCCTGTAAAGAACTTCTATTTTATTTATATGTTTTGTCATTCTTTATTTCATGAATTTCAAATCAGATGAAGCGCGGGAAGTGATTGACTTGAGTTCGTAGCACTTACCTCCTCTCTCTCTTGCACCTCGTTCAGCAATATCAGAAGTTAGATCGCACTCAGTTATCTTGCTTAGTTGGCGTGTATACCAACTACAGGAAAGATAAAAACAGCAAGTGGTGGCGGGCAGAGTACGAAGCCACAGTGAGCTATGCCGAACAAGTGAACCACGCATTTGTCGAAGACATGGCTTAACCGGGCAACACGTGTTTTCCGTGGCTTTGAAGTGTGCTTACCCGATGATTTCCAGTTCTGCGAAGGTTTGCCAGCGTTTCCTAAAGGCAACGGGTGAGCACGAAAACTTGGACCCATTATTTGAGCAGATATTGAGTAAGCCTGACTTTACTGACAAAAGTGCAGTGTCGACTGTTTAATTGTTGAAGACGGCAGCCAAGCTCCTGTCGGGAACATGCTTATTTAAAGGCTTGAATTCGAGTTGGCTCGGCTACATTGTTTTAGCTTCTTTTACTTTTGGCATGCAGTTCAAATGATATCAAGTAATTATAGGCTGCTTCCTGCTCATGAAATTCTTGCAGCCGCATTTTGAAAATTTGTGAGTCTTTACTTTAATACTGTCACTCAAATACACGTGATGGAATAACTGCTTCTAATGAAATGGAACGAGGCAATATTATTACACAGAATGTCGGTGGAGCCAACGTTTTGACAAGTGCACTTTTCTTCGTCATGGCAACGCCGTTTTCCTGACGAGGACAAGTCAACTTGCCGAAACTGTTTCCAGCGACGTTCTTTCTCGAAAAACTTCTGATCGCTTCAGGCCTCTTCGTGCTTCCGAACTTCAGTCTCAATTTGTACGCAAGTTCTGCTAGAAAACTATGTGCGCCGTCACAACAAACGTGATAGAGTCAAATACGACGTGCCCTAATCGCGATTGTTAATAATTTTCACATTGATGTGGTTATTCTGGGTTCAATGCTTGCTCATTATGTCCGTGTATCAGTTGTAAGTTAAAGATCATGTTATAGATGGACACTTTCAGACTACGTGTATGTGTTGTTATACGAAACGTGTAATAAAGAAGTGCATTTTATTTGTGCCTATTGAGTTTCTTCTTATACTAAGACATCAGCCAGCTTAACTTTCGCCTCTTCAGAACACACGAAATAACTTCGGAAAAATATTATTCTAAAATTTTACGAATGGCCGCATCGCCCAAGCGGCCAGCGCACCTGAAAGAAGGCACGAGCGTCTTCCGCTTGTATGCGAATCGGGAAAGAAGGGTGTCCGCGGCAAGCCTCAACCTCTCAATTTTTCTCCTTTCCCTCTATTTGGTGACGTCATGAAAAAAAACGTGTTCGTGGTTTATTTTCAGTAGGATGCCCGGCAACCGCCAGTGGTAAAAGCGGCGCTGCCGCTGCGTATCAGCATTCGAGAGCGGATACATGGAAGGTATAGGGAGTTTCCACCCCCTAGCTTGGTTGCCACAAATATAGACAAGCAAGCAGCTAGTTCTTTTTTTCTCAGATGTATTGCCTGCAATGCCCGAATCATCGGGCATCTGTTTAAGTTGCTCAAAACGGTAGCTATAACTGTTGTCAATAATATACAGGGCTTTACGTACCGAAACAACGATATCATCATGAGGGACGCCGGCGTGGAGGGCTCTAGGAATTTTGGCTATCTGGTGTTCTTTAACATGCACCTATTTACAACTCCCGAAAACGTTTTGTGTGCTGGCAACACTGGCCGAAAAAAAAAAACAAAGATGGCTGCATTGAACAGGGTCAACGCGGCACTGTCGCTTGGCGCTGTACTGAAGTTTCTTGATTGTGGCGCCAAATCGCGTTGCTTTGGGCCGCCTCTTCTCATCGGCACAAAAGATTTTACGCGCCAAACAGCGGAAATCATGGCGCTTTGTGCGCGAAATTCGAGCCATTTCTGCGAGCCGCATCAGATTTACTTCAAGTTGAACAACCTGTCTAGTGACCCGAGGTTCAAGAGGGCAACTGCTCATGTGTAGTGGGCCTCTCCGAAGGGTGCTAGTACTGTTGCGCTGCGTTGCTACACTGCTACAAGCAAGGCTTTACCAGTTTGCGAGGTAACTACGCTGCAACTCGTGCTGCCGATTGCATGTATCCCATCCAGTTCAGTTGTTCCGTCAAAAGCTAAATACGCACGCCGTTCACATCGTTTTTGAACACAGCTATGACTGGGCCAGTGTATCTTGAGGCAAAGAAATTTTTGTTTTTATTCTGATAGGAGTGCTCTTTTTATTGGCGTTCGCGATCAGGTTACAAAGTTTCTAATGAATAAGGTTGTGTGCTTCCGAACACTCGCTTGTTCGTGTTGGCAGTAATTGATATTGAAAGCAGATATATGCACGCACATTAAGCACACTACGAATGCACGGACATGATATTGTCACGGGTTGACGAAGGGGGTAGACTGTAGGTCGAAGATGAAACTGTTCATTTGGCCCGACTTGTGGTCGGTGAACAGAAAGTCAGATTACAGCGATATACACTGACACTGGATAGTGGCGAATAGAGCGCTGGTGGTTGATCAACTCACAAGCGGTGAAGCGCGTCGGCATTAACACATGGGCATCGAATATTCTAGTGTTATCGCTATAGCGGCCACGTATAGGTTCCAGAATAATCTGTAATGTTCGCGTTGTGCACGTAAGCTCTACAAAATTATGGACTAAGCTTCTCAAACATTGCAGGCGGCACGGAGTTGCGCTGAGAATTACTTATAGTGTGACGGGCGATAACAAAGCTTGAAGAAAGATTGTGGCAATATATATATATATATATATATATATATATATATATATATATATATATATATATATATATATATATATATATATATATATATATATATATATATATATATATATATATATGCACAAACATACATACATGCAAGTTACGCATGAGCGACCCTCGCGCGCGCATTTGTGGGCATGTATATGCGCACATTCGAACTAAAAACTGTTCAGGGGGAAGGATTGCTGCAGCCTAATTTTAGAATGGGTAGTACAACGGCCTACTCAGAAAACAAGCATGTGCAAAAAAATGCAGTCACACATGCAACGCAACGATTTGCTAAAGCGCTTGCTTATATAAACGAAACTATACTCCATGATTGGAGAAGCCCAAATATTGATAAGAATACACACATGCTGAATAATGGTGTACTCTCCCAGGAGAATTAAGTTGTTTCGAGCGAATTGATTAGAACAAACGACTGTAGTGTCCGTCAGCTTCTTTCCTATGCGTAAGTTCCTGATTTGTGCCATTTTCCGTCGCACGTCGTCTGCGTCCTTCGGGAAGTGATAGAACATTACGTTGCCTTCTTTCCACCGTGATGCCACGCATTGCGCCCCGCTACAAAGGTGTTGGAGCATCGCTTTGTTCTTTTACGGGCTCGCGCGAGTGGAATAGCGATAATAGAGGAACTATGTGGCCGCTTCTCAACGCGCAACGTGGTAACATATCTCCTTTCAAGTTGACCCTGTTACGCCGTTTCCAGGTGCGGCCTCTAGGTGGCGAGCGCTTAGTTGTAGTGCGAATACTTCCGTCTCAGAAGTTCTCTGCACCACTGAGGATGTTACTGGATGCCGCCCATAGGCAGGACGATTAGCCCCTCCACTTGCATTCATCCGTGCCGCGAACTCGATGGACTTCGGCAGGAAAATATCTTCCGCGGAAGATCGTTCCGCCGCCCGTCCTGCTGCGAAGCGCATCCAGATGGCGGATGAGACGCGTCGGAGAACAACAAAAAACATGGTGGCAATGTCTGAAGCGAGAGCCGCCCGCTTCGAATGTTTAAGCTATTCGTCGCACATTGCGTGTGCTGTTAGTTCCAAACTGATGGTTGTGTTGGCTTTAGGCTTGCGTCGGTAAGCTTCACCGGAACGTATTCATGATAATTTGTTACTGTTAACGAGCGCAGTACTCGTTTTCTGAGAACTGCAACCTTAGCAAGTGCCTCTATTGACAGAACATGACCTCAGTGATCTGCGATAGCGCGAGTGCTACCATATCTCAAAGGTCATAATAATGGGCGAATGCTTGCTTGTTCCTTTTTTTCTATCTAGATGGTGCGAGCAGCCTGAAAGTTGAAAACACATTCACGATAGGAAACGCATTGAAAGTTTCTGTTTTCGTCTTTGCCGCAGAGTTTCTTTTAGGTAGAAGACTGAGTTCGAAAAAAAAAAAGCGACGCCATAATTAGATTGTGAAGCACTCTACGTTCCTGCAAAAAGTTCTCGTTTTCAAAAAGATCTTGTTGGACGTGGCACGGATGGCGCACATCCGTGACGTGGGCCAACGTAATGCACCGTGCGCAGT